GCAGTCATGGGAGGTATCGTTAACTACGAGAAGGCGTTCTTCAACGACGAGTATTTGGCGAAACACCCGTTCCGTAAGGATCAGGACGGCATCACTCGACTTAAGACGTTAATCGCGTTGCAAATACCGCTTCTGGAGGTGGGAATCGGTCTTCACAAACAACGGGCGCCGCAAAGCTTGAGGCCATTTCACGATCACATGGAAGAGGCGTTCGCCAAACTCAAGAACAATGTCGAGGAAAGGTATGGCAAACGATCGCTTCCCGAAGACTTGATCGACAAATTCAACGTTAAGATAAGGCATGGATTCAGTGAGAAGAACAGACAGTTTCCGAATTCACACTCTTCTGCGCCAACAAAAGTATTCGACAGAAACTCTTCCGGAAGTCTTTCAAGCGATTCGTGAGTTTAATATTGTTTTGTTTGCATTTTTATTATTACCGGTAATTAATTAATTGTTGTCTTAACAGTCCATCAAAGGCCGGCCGATCCATATCTGTTTGGGTGAAACCCAATCAATTGAACAACACATCCGGCCATTCAAACAGTGTGTCGACGACTAACCTCTTCAGCACCAGTACTCTCTCCAAACTAAAGAAGCAGTCATCCAAAGATGGCGTACTTATGAGACGCTCGAACAACGAGACCAGTTCTCAGGCCCAGTGGTACGCACCCGACCTCTTGAACAAAGCGGACACAAACCAAACGTCACAAACGGTGATCGAGTTGTCAGAACCGCTGTCATCGCACCGACCGTTGCGTTCCGAATACGAGCGACGACTGAGTCGACCAAACAGTGGACAATACAGGACACAAAGCACACACTCGCCCACTCGTAGCCTAAGCCACGGCGCGTCCTCTAACAGTCTCTCCGTATCTCCGCATTCAAACTCATTGACGGACGCACTCGACGACAAACCCCCTCCGCTTCCCGTTAAGCAATCGTTCGCCGATTACAGCAATCTATCGGAGAACGGAACCAATGGATCCGATTTGACGGTCGTTTCCATCAAAAGGAATTCCGGAAGTATGAGCTCTACTCTCAAACATAAAGTGAGTCCACGATATCATTCATTTAGTATTTGCAATATTTATTAAAACAATACTATTTATGTGTTTAGTCGCCGCCGCCTCCACCCCCTGACAACTCAAGTCCACCAAACTCTCCACGTTCTCCACCAGAGCTTCCAAAGAAACCTCAACGTCCTGTACCCCCGTCTCCTCCCTCTCCCCCTTCGCCCGTGCCATCCAATCAAAGCGACCAAATCATCGATAATTAACACTAAAGAGTATTTAAGAAAAATTTATTTTTGAAATATTATTCATCACTTAAAGTGAGTTAAAATTGAATACAATTTTATTTTCTAGTCTTCCCAACACTTATCTATAAATCAATTTTTATTATATAATTCGCAGTTTTTAACTGCTTTTTGTGCTTTTAATGATTATTTTCCGTTTGTATTTTGATTGTAGTGAACAAAACATTAGTTTATTTTTTCGCAAACAAGTAATTAGTTTAATCATTGAGTTTTAATATTTATTTAACTGTTATTTACACAAGTATTCCGGAGTGGGAATACAAATTACTCACGGAAATTTACGTTAAATTAATATAAAAATAAATATAAACTATAATTATATACTATTAACCTAAGTATTTATATATCTCTTTGTATAAAAAATCAAATGTTTAATATTTTACATTTTCTTAATTTATTTTGATATGTATTTAAATAAAATTTATATCACTTTATGGCTTATATTCTTCGAGTTCTGTGAACATATCACCCAAATTACTGAACGCTATGTCCTCTTCGCTGGGCTTTGCGTTGGTTTGTGTTTCCAATTGATTCTTATGTCTCAACACATCCACAATCACTTGTTTTACATTCTTTCGCACTGTTTTACGAATCTCTGCAAATCATATCAAATTTTTCAACCAATTTTATAACCACTTCTTAAGTCTCAGCAAAAGATATTTTTATTTAAACCCTTATAGTAATGACTAAAAATAGTGATACCGTATAACTGTTACAATTCTAACCTTTTAATACATAACCAGAATCGACAATAGTTTTATTGCCGTCTCTCCATATAGTGTACAACCGGTAAAACACTCCCGAATAAAACCACCTTATGTTTAATGAGTGCCTTTAAATGCAATTTAATTATATTTTTATTTATATTTGATATTAATATATGATAATTGGATTCATAAATATATAGAGAAACATATTTTTTAGTTTACAAATTATAAAACATTTTCTTAATTTATTTTGATATGTATTTAAATAAAATTTATATCACTTTATGGCTTATATTCTTCGAGTTCTACGAACATATCACCCAAATTACTGAACGCTATGTCCTCTTCGTTGGGCTTTGCGTTGGTTTGTGTTTCCAATTGATTCTTATGTCTCAACACATCCACAATCACTTGTTTTACATTCTTTCGCACTGTTTTACGAATTTCTGCAAATCATATCAAATTTTTCAACCAATTTTATAACCACTTCTTAAGTTTCAGCAAAAGATATTTTTATTTAAACCCTTTTAGTAATTTGATTTTTATCACTATGGCATATTGACAATGTTAAGATTGGAAAATTATGTATTGGTCTTAGCTGTTATCAAAATAACGGCAGAGAGGTATATCACATGTTGGCCATTTTGTGAGGGCTTATTTTGGAATTGAATACTTTGAGCACACATTTGGCTTCATTGCACTCCTTGTTGAGGAGACCCTCTCTAAGCACTTGCAAACTGATGCTCGATATCTGCAAACTCATGACAGCGAACGGGAAGTGTTGCCGTTTATCGAGAGATAATTTGTACAATTGTTTACAGAGTTGACTCGTTTCTGGCGATAGGATGAGAAAGAGTAGCTGCTCTAAACCCAAGAGTCCCATCCCTCTCAGATCGGTGGCCGGATCTGTGCCCTGAAAGCCCACGTCTTCCCAGTGGTCGCCAAACCGTCGACACTCTATGAGCGCATTTCCCGTCAACTTTTGATATATTGTAACCAAGAATTGGGTTTGCATTGAATCGTGGTTTTCAAACGACTGCAACGCTATCGCAAAAATTCTGTTCCGCTCTTCGACCAGATTTGAGTGCAGTTTTGGCGGATTTAAGCAAAATATTGTCGACATTATGTGATAGAAACCATTCCTCGACTGAATTGCTTGTATTCTTGGCTGAAATCAATCGGCAATTTATTTTCACTTTTATTTTCTTTGTATTAATGAATACAAACCAAGAGTTGATTTATAGGAAAGGATTCAAAATATGACAGAACTTCGTCTAAAGTAACACATGATGTGACCCGAGTTGTCAACGAAAGACCGCAATTAACATCATCTTTAGATTGGCTTAAGTCAATCAGTGGTAAGGCTTTGATGTTTTCCCATTCATTACACTCTACCTCATAGTCTGAGACAATGGCAAGAAATATATGAAAATATTTGTCATAAAAATCTAATGAAATTATTTCTACCACAAGATCTGTGATGTTTGCCACTATTTTGTGGCTCTTCTAACTCTTCAGACATTATCTTTGTATTGGTTTCAAAATATATTTAACTTTTCAAATCAAACACTAATTTCAAGAATAATGTGATTTATTTGTCTTAAAAAGTTGCTTAAACTTTAAAATGTGATCACATTTATTACCACAATTCATATCAACTGATCATAATTTACTCATTTAAATAATACAAGAGCTGATCCACAGATATATACTATTTTCAATCCTAATGTCAAACAAGAATATTCATTAAATCAATAATTTTCTATTTCCTAATAATGTTTTCATGTATTTTATGTTTCCATAGCTTTTATCGATTGGTTTATAACTTTCATGTGTTTTCGCGCATTAAATGGCAAATAATTAACAAATAAAAGCATATATTTGTTGTAATAATTAAGACAATAATCTAATTAATTAATTCAGTGCTAACTATAACCAGGAATTTATTCCCCATTTAAACATAGCATTCAATTCATAGGGAAAAGCATCGCAACGATTGCATCAACGAAAATGCGAACGTAATATATGAACGACCCGTTGGAGTGCGGCGACGGTTAACGCCATTTACAGTTTGCGCGCATTTATTGCATAATAAAGTGATTTGTTTTCAAATACTATTGTTTTGTTTTCATATTTATTAGCATTCATTCAATCAAACCGTTGTCACAAATGTCTGCCTTATGTCTGGCCATCGATTCACTTACCACTCATTGTCTCCATATATCACACGTCTTGTAAGGTATGACACAATCATTTGTAGTGATATTACGGCCATTAGTGGTGCCATTGTTTGCCAAAACTTAATCCATTGTCTCTTTTCCTCTATTGTCTGGTCATGTGATGTACGGATGTGTTGGCGACGGCGGTGTGTCTTCAGACTCGACTAGAAATGCCATTAAAGCGAAACGAAGGTAATAAACGATACATCAGTTCCGACTCCGAGGAAAGCAGTTATTGCGAGACACCGAAGACCAAGGGATCAACGGTTGGCGCCAAACGACTCAACGATCACCGCAGAGGAAGCGACGCCCAAGAGATGGTGAATCACGCCATGCATAACGACAGTTACGATATACGGCTCGCGAACGGCAAAGCGAACGGCGTCTCAATGGACACCACAAACACATCTGTCAACTCTTCATTCAACTCATCGCTCAACACATCCCTCAATCCAGTCGTGCGTCTCAATAAGGATGCCATCGATTCCCATATGAAGCGAAAGAGTATTGGCTTAAGTGCCCCGAAAGCGACGCCAATACAGGACAGGGATGAGCGCGAAGATCGACGCCGTCGTCAGAACGAGAGGGCTGTCCAACAGAGGAGGAGTGCCATCGGTCTCGCGGGAACGCCCGCCCGAAGCGGCCCCTCGTCCTCAGCCACGAGCGGACTGTCGGGCGATCAGCTTAAGGAACACTACACTCATTGCATTCAGATGTCGGCCACCAATAAGATTAACGTTAAGAACGCTTTTGGTCTGCATTTGATTGACTATATGTCTGAACTGAATAAACAAAACGAACAAAACCAGAGTATGAACTTCAAACTGGCCGCCAGTGCTCTCGATGCCGGCGCTAAGATCTACTACCATAGGGTCGACTCAGTACACGCCGAGGCACAGAAAGTGGCCTCAAGTCTCGTTATGGCTCTCAACAAAGACAAGAATGCGCCCAATAATGGTTTGGATGACAATATGGACACAAACGACGACAACAACGATATGAACGAAGATAACGATGGGATGAATGACTCGGAGAGACAACAAAAGCAAAGACGAAAGAAGACAACGAAACGCAATGTGAAGACTTTGGCCCAAAACATGGATTCGTTGAATGTGGCGAAAGTGGAGGCAAACGTTGAGATCGATCCGGTCTTCCATCACTTGTCGGCGGCCTTTGATATGGGAAACGTTAACTCACTTCTTATGGCAAACCTTAAGATCAGTCCTTTAGGAATGCTTTTACTCGACTCTAATTCGTCGCTCAATTTCGATGAATATATAGACAGTAATCGTGAGCCAAAAACTCAGGAAATAACCAAATTCTACACCGAAATGAGTGAATTGCAGAAAACAACGGCTCAGATATGCCCTAAACTGTCGTCCTTTTCGTTTCTCAACCGAAGCGATGGCATTGATCTCATCCCTCGAGAGGAAGACCCCTCTTATACGCCAAGAAAGGATAGTTTCGCGTTTGATTTGAACGCCGAGACCGAAGACATCGATGACTTGGACTGCGAAGACATGGGCGGAGACATGTTTGACAACAATGACGACGACAGCGATGACGGCGGCGGCGGCTTTGTTGAGGTGCCCGACGCCACCGCTAAGAAGGCGTTGTTTAGAGCGGTTAATATGCAGGGCGTCGGAGATCTGGTGAAGATGTTGTCCGACAAACCCAACGATTACACGTACTTTAATCCCAAATTGTTGAGTTCATGGGCCGGTCCTATGCATTGGAAACGCGTCCCCTTTTGGAACAAAAACAATCGCGTCGACGGACAGGGAGGCGGCGAAGGGGGCGGATAAACCTCGTCGACAGCGCAAAGTGTTTCCCGAACAGCATTATAAGGAAGAGTTTGATGAGACAGAGAGCGACCGAATGGCCGGCAATGACCAGAGGCTCAAAGTGTTGACACTTCAGAAGTGGCACCAAAACAAAAGCGAACTTAAACTGCCGGCCGATCACGGCTTCGATCCCAAAGTGTTGGCCCGATCTTTCATAAAACCCGAGTCGATCTTCCAGTGCGCCAAAAGTCACGAAGACGTGATGGACGCCACTCTCAACAGCAACGACGACTCGTACGGCGCGCCCGTCTCTCCCGGTGTGGAGCGGTATGACTACGACGACGACGACATACCCACCGGTGGCTTCACTGATCCCCTCGAGTTGGGTCATAGCGTTCCGCTATCGCAGCTCAACACCAATGCGTTCACCGGTGATAATCTGGTGGAACAGCCGTACGATCTCCAGAATATTCACATTGATTTCGCCAAATTTGCCAAAAAGATGGACGTAAAGCGGTTGAAGCGCGCGATGTGGGACGTCATCAGTCCTCTCAATCCTCCTACCACTCCACTCACTCCTGAGGTATGTCTACCGACAATTACTGCATTCATTTTCATGTCTGACAAGCGATTCATTATATTATTTGCGCATATTTTAGGCCAATAGACCGATGAGTCCGGAAACTATTAGTTTCACGACTCTGTATAAAGATTTGCCGCCAAAGATCACGCCAGTGATGGCCCAAAACCTAAGCACACCCATCGCTTTCGTCACACTATTACATCTGTGTAACGAAAGGGTATGAATTGATGACTAAATGTGTTTATGTTTTACGTGTCTAACAGTTTTGAATTGTATTTTACAGAATCTGAAACTCGTGGGAACCGAAGATCTCTCGGACTTTGTTATCCAAACTGAAGTTCTCTGTAATACCAATTGAGAACTCGAGTACTAAATTGAGATTTAATTGTAATAATTATTAACACTTGTATTTAAATTGTTCATTTTTACCACACTTATTTTTAAGCCATAGAATTCACAATTAATATCATTATTAAATAATATGTAAATGTTTTCTGATTATTAAAAAGTTAATATTTTTTTGACAAATTGGTCGAAATTAATGGCCCAATGAATGCATTTAGAAAGTGATATTTTTC